ATTTACCGGAGGTAAAGATAGAGCTACTGTGAGAGAGAAATAGTCCAACTGTGATCAAACCTCCTTAGAAGCTAACGTTAACAAAATACGGTGGGTAAATTATGGTGATTATTTTTCATGATGCTTCTTGTGTAACTTTATACTGACGTGCTAACGTTATCTCAGCTAGCGTTAGCTTTGTTGTTTCTCTGAAGCCGTTCTTCTGCTTCGTTCAGGTTGTGTGTGTGTGTGTGTGTGTGCTGCTGAATGTAAATGAACTTGATCTACGTGCAGCAGAGTTAACCATAGAGCTACTGTGAGAGAGAAATAGTCATTACTTAAATCCAGTAATAAGTGTGGTTTTATATAAATAACATGTTATTTCACAGAGGTTTTACCTTTTAAAAAATCCGTTCCCATAGGAGCTCATCTTAAGCTTCTTTTGCTGATACCTCCACCTTTGTCTTCCTCTTTCCTCACCTTGTTGAGTTCATGACATGAACTGGTGACGGTGCAGAGCCATTTCCTCACTTTGCGTGGAGATGGTGGTATAGTCGTGAGCATAGCTACCTTCCAAGCAGTTCACCTGGGTTCGATTTCTGGCCATCGCAGTGGACTGTGTTTTCTTAAGCGCCCACTGCTTACCAACTGCTGACAACCCCATACCGGTCAACAAGCGTTCATTCGCAGTGGCAGCCCAACGACTAGATGACATGGGGTTTGGTCAGCTGAAAGAACTCGTAAGTTTGAAGCGTTTGAAACTGAAAGCGGCAAACAAGTGCTCTTTGTGTGTGAAACGAGCATTTGCTCGCATTTGCAGCCCATCGTGTGATTCCTCAGTAATCAGGAGAGGCCTCTTGAGTGGGTGAAACCAGCGGACGGCAGTTGCCTTTGACTAGGTCACTCAAGAAACATTTTTCTCTGATCCAGGTTGACTGAGAATACTAATAGACACACTTTTTTTGTGAATTGAACAAGCATTTGTGTGACTCTTCAGTAATCAGGAGATACCAGTTGTATTGAATTGCATTACACTGTACAGGTGAACTCCACAGGATGCCTCGACAGAATGTTTAAATAGTGATAATAAGTGAGGGACTAAAGGCAATGTCAAGTAACAACTACAGTAAATCAAATTCATTTAAGACTTTTTTTTCTGACAAGTACACCAATCAGCCATGACAGCATGACCACTGAGGTGAAATGAATAAGACTGATTATCTGGTTATCATGGCACCTGTCAGTGGGTGGGATATATCAGGCAACATTTTGTCCTCAAAGTTTATGTGTTAGAAGCAGGAAAATGTGCAGCGTGAGGATTTGAGCGACTGGGTAAGATCATCTCCAAAACGTGTGGGGTGTACCTACCAAAAGTGCTCCAAGGAAGGAAAAGTGGTGAACCGCAGGCAGAGTCATGGGTGGCCTGGTCTCATTCATGCACGTGGGGAATGAATTCTGGCCTGTGTGGTCTGATCCAACAGACGAGCTACTGTAGCTCAAACTGCTGAAACAATTAATGCTGATTCTGATAGAAAGGTGTCAGAACACACAGTGCATCACAGTTTGTTGGTATGGGGCTATATAACATTATAACCACCAGGGTGCCCAGGTGGTCAGAATGTTATGGCTGATCAGTGTCGAACATATTATTTTGGATGTCCCTATTTTATTCTGCAACACAACTGCTCTTTAAGGTGAACTCACCTCATCTGTCTAGTGGAGTAGATTTGACTATCAATAATCACTCAGTAATAGGCTTCATGTATAAATCTTCATTCTAATAGACAATTACACACAAGATTGTAAAACAGCTGCTGTGCTATAATGATGATGATTTCTGATGTGTCTTCTCAGTGAAATACAGGTTATATAATGCATCACTTTGCACAGGTATATTGTCAGCAGTACTGTAACTTTGGGTTATCAGTAAATAAGCAGCATACATAGGTACAGGGTGAAAACTTTATCTCTTGTATGTCATTTTATCAGCAGCACTTGTTCCAGTGTACACAAAAGTTCATATAAATAACTTTATAGTGACCTACTCCTGAACTGCAAACAAGTGTTGCTCTCAATGTGGATTGTTCGCTTTTCTTGAGACGGAAGCTGATTGTTAATTTAATCTCATATTTTCCCCTTCCCCCTTCTTGGTGTATCTTGCTCATCCTCTCCTCCTCTCGGCTCCTCTTCTTTCATTCATACTCTCCTCCCACTCAGTCAAAAATCCAACCACTGACTCAGCAGCAACTCTTCTCCTGTTCTGCCTCCGCCTTCCTCTTCATGCCCCTCCTTCTTTCTTTCACTCTCTCCTCCTCTTAAATTCTTACACTGATGTAGACTGCTGAGTTGACAGCTAAATTCCTGCTGTTTTTCATAATGATGGTGGTATAGTGGTTAGCATAGCTACCTTCCTAGCAGTTGACCTAAGTTTGATTCCCGGCCATTGCAGAAATCAGTGAGATTTTTTGATGTAAGGATCGTACTGATTCGGATTCTTCAGCCCATTCTCTGGAAGTTTAACTGCACTCACTAATGTAGATATTGTTTTGCAGCTCTGCTGTCCAAAACTCATTCTCCAGAGGAGGATTTGTTGGTCTCTTCTATTAAATTGCCTTACATAGCACAGGTAGATTACCTTTAAGTCCTCTTAAGAACCCTGCAACTTAATGTTTGGAGGGTGAATAAAAATGAGGGATTTAAACACACTTACTGCAGGGAATATAATTAAAGATCATGTATAATACATCTATGTAGTGTTGCTGTAGTGTTTTACAGCAGGGCTACCAATAGCAAGGTCTGATTATAATGTACCTATCTGTTCAGCAGGACAGTGGATAAATGGTGTGTTCAACTACTGTTGTATCAACTATTGCCAGCAGATGGTAGTGTTTTACTTTCATATTCATTGTTAAGCCATGGAACATTCTGTAAATGCTGCCAGTTTCACAGCAGACTCTGAGGCAAGCCCCTCCACAGCCGAATGTGACGCCCACTCACATGTGACGCTGTTAGAAAGAGGAAGAGTAGGCCTCAGCTACAGATAGAGGAAAAACACATCACACATTTCAACCACTTGGGTTTCCCTGATGCAAAACCAGTAGTAGATACTGCCAGTGACTAAATATGAACAATGAAAAGAAATAGCTGTAGAGGACTTTGCTACAACTTGATTTATGCCTCGTTTATGCGATCTACCTGCTAGCTGGGGAATCCAGGAAGGCCCACATTAACCAGCTTTCAAGGAAATGTAACCTGGGGTTTTTTCTCCGTTTTATTGCTCTTTCCTGCTGACATTCTGTAGAATGTGTAGCCAGAACATCATCAGTTGCATAGTTATGCTTCATTTGGGGTAATTAGTACTCACTAGCTAATACCAACTAAGAGTTTAAATGTGCTTCAGCAACTTTACATACAAATCTCTGCAAATGACAGTGGTGGAGGAGTCTTTAAGTAAAATAAAGAATAGAGAATACTCCTTTTAAAATAGTCCTGCATTGAAAATCTTACTGTACTCAAATTATTATCAGTGTTTTGAAACATGAATGAATAAGGCAGGTAATTCCACTAGAATGATAGAAAAGTTGATTTTAGAAAATATCTTTATTGAACAAACAGTACAAAACAAACAGCAAATCAATTCGTATTTAAGTGGAATGCTATGACTGTCATGGTGTCATAGTATAGCATCAGAAACTTAAACACAAACAAATGTATGTCAAAAAAGTGTAAAATAAAATATATAACTTAAGATAAGAATATAAATAAAATATATTAGTACATTATGCGGTTTCCTAACTGTGATCCACCAGACTCTTCAACACAATGACTGCTAGTACCAGTATATTCTGTATATATAAGAAATTTCAAAAATAACCTTGTTAGTATTAGTGTTGGAGGTTTGCTGTCTATCCATTTCAACAATATATGTGTCCTTGCACAGAAAGTAAGTGTATAACTTCAGAAAATTCTTCAAACTAAATTATTTGCAATGAAAACAGATTGAAACATTCCTGCTAAACCCTTTTATTTACTTTTTATAAGAAAATCAGACTTTAAGAATAATTTTAAGAAAAATTCACAATAGTTTTTTAGTATGAAATTTTCTTTTTGCAAAATAAGCTATATAACTAGTAAGTATAGCTGTCAAATAAATATAGTTGTAAAAAGTAGTAAAATTCTGAAGAGATGTGAAAGTGAAGCACTTTTATAAGACCAAAAATGGTGTGCTGCCTCTTTACTCACAGGAGCAAAACTATTTTAGAAACATTAGCAGCGAGACTCAAGACTTCTGTCGGTTGGTAGGTCAGTCCGCCACTTTGGTCCACTGACTGAAATATCACTGCTATCAAATATAACTATTTGATGAATTACCAAGAAACTCTTCTGTGGGCATTCATGGTCCCTAGAGCACTAAACTAACATGGTGAACGTGGTTAGTTCAAAGCACCACTGTGTTTTAGTACAGCCTCACAGAGAATGGCTGTTGAATTGTCTCATATCATGAAACTTACATCGTCCCCTAACAGTGTCTACATGGGGGTACTACATGCAGAGGCTTCACTTTCCTGTCGGCTGCGTCTTATGTCTTTATTTAATAGTAGAGAGAGAGAAAGGGGAACTCAAGTATCCCCCGCCTACTCTTATGCTACCACGGAACCTTGTTCCTTAACAAACGAACAAAACTCATTCTGTTCTTTCCATTTAAGTTCATCAGTGATCAAGACTGTCATTTCGGTATCAGATATCAAATCTTTGCACAGTTATGCAGCTGGAAAGTATCAGAAGATTCAATCTAAAGCCTTTTGCTCACTCCTTTGTAGTCACTGCATGTCAGCACTGTCACTACAGCAGTCTCATGGTCAGGACATTGAGTTAGAAAAAGAAAGTGACCAACAGATTGAATGTGAAACATACTGACATTTTAATTTCACAGGAATCTTTCTTTGGTGAAACGTGGGAAATCCAAAATGAATAATCTGTTTAAACGACTACTTGAAGCTGTACTGATGTATCACAGGCAGTCAGTGTGGGATTTTCATTTTATTGCATTTATTACATAATGACACATTTTTAAACTCCGGGCAATTTTTATGCTCAATAATAAAGAAAACAGAAGTAACACTGTTGTTTTTTTAGTACCAAGCACAGCAGGCCTCATCTCACAAGATGTACAAAACACAAATCAGAAATCCCATGCATTCCACAGAAGTGTCATTTGCACAGCATCATAATGCTATTAATATTCCACAGGAATTAACAGAAGAAAGTCCATAAAGAACTACATATCATACATGTCTGCAGGGTGCACACATACTTTAACACGTAGCTTACATACTTTTAGTGATTAAATAACTTATTGTAGAAGACTATTAGACATAGTTTCATGAGAACAAAACTGCATATATTTGATTACTGTGTTAACTACCACACTGAAGTTTAGCATGTACTGTACAAGAACCCTGTAGGGAGCTCTGGGAAATGATACCAATAACTAACAGTTAATGCACATTGATACACAATGCATCTCTTCCAACCACTGTCCTGCAGTGTTGTTGAGTCACATCAGTCCATTACAGCATTATAGATGAGCTAATTCCATTCATTACAACTTGTAAACCAATGCAGTTCATCAATGAGCCACGTCGCCTGCAGCTGTCCACCTGTCTGAACTATTCATCTGTCCTGTGATGGTGAAGAGTGAGACACTCTTTGAAGCCTTACAAAAGTAAATTGGCTTAATTGGCTTCAGTTTAAGTTTGGCCGAAGAAATGGTGAGCTGTGCTAGCCATATTCTGAAGTGGGGGGGCCTGCCACCAGTTTGCTGTACCCTGACAAGGCCCCCAGGTCAATGTACAAGGATCCCTTCCTCCTCATGTGTCCAGAGTCCTCCGAGTACAGAGAAGATTCTGCAGAAAGAGAAAGGAGTATATGTTTAAATAGGGAAAGTATCTTATTATTAATTTCTGGAACCAAATTGACTTCAGCGCCTAGTCCTTACCCTGTGTGGTGTCTTGGTGCTGGCTCTGCTGCCGTAGCATGGTGTGGGTGACCTCCTCCAGGGCTGAGTCAAGGCTCCAGCAGCGCGGCTGATCCTCCTTGGGCGGGTTGATGGCCTCGTCCTTCAGCAGCTCGGATGCTGAGCTCCGCAAAGCAGGGTTCCTCTCCAGGGCTCGCTCCAGGAAGGAGCGCATGGCTGGGCTGCAGTCCTCTGCTATGTCCTCCAGAGGGGGGGCCTGCTTGTGGATCTGTTGGGAGAGAGATAAGCGAAAATTGGCATTAGAAAACTGCAGCATGAGAGAAAAAAAGTCACAAAGACAGTCAAGGCTTCCAGATAACCAGAAACAAGAGGCCACGTAGAACTGCCCAACCAGCTGTGACCCAGTTTTCTTTTTTGTGTATCATTGTGGCTGGAGCTAAAACAAGTTTGTTATAGTAAAAAGGAACAAGGAAACTTGCAAAGCTCAGCCTGTAGTGACCTAACCATGCAACATTACTTCTCCATGACAGCACTTTCATGAGGAAGTGAGTAATTATCGAAATCAAAAGAGCTGATAATAATTTCTAAAACAGAAATGGGACTTCTTGAAAGCAACAAACCCATGTCATGGAAAATTAAAAAAGACAGAAGTAGAGACTGACTAAATGGACCATGGGGCAGACACTGCAATCAGTCACGATAAGCGTTTTTTAAATCTCATGATAATCTAGGCTGTGGAGGATGTGAACAAGGTCATGGAAAACTGTGCATGTGAAAAAATTTGAAAATGTAGTAACTGGCCAGAGGGCAAAAGTTGCTTTGCTGCAAATACACACTGCCAATTTACACAGAATAATTGTCTGTGAGTTTGTCACTAAACACAACCTCTTTCATAGTAGAAGTAGTCCTGTTTTTAATTCTTAATAAGAAAATATTGATTATAGGTGCTTTAACATTTTGTTATAAAACCAAAGTACAGTTAAATCTGGTGGGAATGTCGTTAATTTGGCACTGGAGGAAAAGTCAGGAGATCACCAAAGTCAGAAGGCTTCATCATCTAGGGCCCATCTAGGGACCATGTATGTCTGTGCCAGATTTCATTGCAATCAGTAGTTTATCCAGTTATTTCAACCTGGACAAAAGCAGTGAACCAACACACTGATACTAGCATGGCTCAGAAAAAATGCACTGTACTTACAATATAGAGGTAGGATGGGTAGGCAGTGCGTGGGTATCTCCGGACCCATGGGGGGCTTCCAGTCTGCATGTGAATGATAGTGGTGCCCAGGCTGTAGATGTCTACCTTGGTGTTATGTCCTCGACACAGAACCAGCTCTGGACTCATATACATCTAAGTGAAATAAATTTTAAAAAATGTTTTAATTAATGTGCTTAACAACAAACTGAAAACAACCTCTTGCAGCGAAAGGGTATTTTTGTTACAACAAACAAGATAACCTTTGGACCCACGCTGTGTGTGTCAAGGTAAGGGCCACGCAGAAGTGGGTTGGCCTTTGGAGTATGAAAAGTAAACACACTACCAAAGTTCATCTCTTTCTCTGCTGGAAATTCCAGCCTACTCTCCCATGTTAATGTAAGCCTGAACAGCCTGGTGTATTTGCTCGGTCTGTCACTCTTATTACTGCATGGTGTCTGCCCTGGGACTTTCCACAGCCAAGCCATGAGAGGCCCAGCGAGACCTATATAGACACAACAGGTCAAAACATGGGAAAGCTGCTAGGCAGACACATGGTGGGAGAACAGGCTTGTGAGAATTCTCTTGGATTAATCCTAAAATTTCCCAAAGTGCTGGTTACATCTGCAGTGAGAACCCTAAGCATAAGCAGACTATTATTAGCATCAGTGAGGCCAATGAGTGCACAGACTGCTCTGCTAACGCTTGCCAATCACTGACTTTCTATAATGATTTTGGAAATGACAGAGACAAGTGCTTCAGACTCATTTCTTTTGATCCCTGGGAAAGTCTGGCCTGAGTCATGAGTCAATAAGTGTGCTGCCTTTTCTAGGAAGAACACTCAGATCAGAACAGAAATACAAGTACAGATTGGATTAGGTTTATTTACTAGGTTTATGCATTCACTATAGGGTTACAGTTACAGCCTGTAAAACTCTGGATTATTTTCTTACCTCTGTTCCTCTCATGTCTCTGGGAATGTATATATCCTCTGTCATCTGCACCGTCAGGCCAAAGTCCACCAGCACTGCCTTGTCTGACATCAGAACAATGTTACTGGCTGAAAAAACAGAGAAAATAATAGTTAAGATTCACAGATGTAGCAGTGAGTGTACAGTTTTTTCTGCATTTGTGCTTTGCTGTGCAAATTGAGATTTTTGAGATTATATTTAGTAGGAAGGTACGAAAATATTGATTTACTTGAGTATTGTGATATTTTGTATTGTGATACTGAATAAACTCAAAAACACTGTATCAAGTTTTGTGCTTAAAGCCCCAACCAGTTAGTGTTGTAAACATAAACTGATGGCTATGATGTTGAACGTTACAGGGATTGTGATAAATGCAAATCCATCACACTGCATAAAAAAACTTTTGTGACTTCTTTTAACTCGCTTTGCATTGAGTTAATCTGGGAAAGAGCCACTGAAGCCTCCCAAGAAGATGTCAAGCATGTCTCATACTTTTCGCAAAGGAATTTGACAGATAATTTGAGGACAGGCCTTCCGTGAAAAGTCTCATCCTTGCGCTTAAAAACCACACCAAGGTTTAATTACATATTTTGATCGTACAGGCAGGAAACACAGAGAACCACAGCAACATGTCAGAGGTCCAGGCTGGCCATTGTCATAAGTCACTTAGCCTCTTTGGACCCTACATTTAAGCCTGAGGGAGCATGAGAAGAAGGCTGGAATTTCCAGGCACCAAACAGCCTTTAGGCCATGAGGCTGACAGACGGCTCTGCAAAATGCTTTGATCCCAGCAGCACCACCGTGGTCCAACCAACGTGAAACTACCTCACATTAAACCTCAACCACACCCAGTTTTACTAGCATCTGTTCTTGTATACTAAGTCATTAGCAACCCAATTTCTTGTCAGTGTGACCTGGCTACCTTTGAACACCTCCTCACAACACGTTTGTCAGACCTAGTAGGTAATATTGTCAGATTTCTGTGGTCCGTTTGGTTTGTGGCTGTCTTGACTGATTCACTGTTCCTGTTTGGCACTTAAGACTCTCTAGAGCTATTTACACGAAGTGTATCAGTCTGTGGCTTGACTTTGACGTAACAAGGGTAAAAACTTACATTGCTTCATTTCCTGGATAGTATGTACTAGCCTAGTACAATGCAGTACATCCATCAAAAACACTCAACAAGTATTTCCTTTTCTTACGTTTGATGTCGTGGTGGATGACGTTGTGTGAGTGCAGGTACTCCAGGCCCCGCAGGACTTGCTTGGTCACCCAGATGATCTCGAACTCCCTCATGGGCCCACAGCTGTCCAGCTTCTCCAGGACGGAGCCGCCCTCTCCGGCCTCCATGAACAGGTGGACGTTCTGGTCGCAGAGAATTGCGCCGTAGAGCTCGGCGATGTTCTCATGGCGGAACCGGGCCTGGAACTCCACATCAGCTGCTTTAAAGTTCTCCATGGGGATCTGTGAGAATGATGAGATGTTAAATAAACCAATCATCACAAGTCAATGCCACTGTTTTATATAAAGGAATAGGTCCACATATTGGGAATGCTTATTTGCTTCCTAGCTGAAAGTTAGTTGAGAAGATTGATACCACTCTCATATCTGTATGGTCAACATGAAGCTAGGGCCAGCAGCTAGTTAGCTTAGCTCAGCATAGAGACTGGAAGCAGGGGGAAACAGTTAGCCTGGCAGTGTCTGAAGGTTACCTATTAGATAGATAGATAGATAGATAGATAGATACTTTATTTATCCCGAGGGAAATTCAAGTTTTATAGATTAGCATCTATAAAACTAAGTGATTTACATGCTATATCTTGTTTCTTTATAAATAGGCTAAAGTGTAAAAAGAGCTATTTGTGCTAGCTTAGCTTGGCTTAGTATAAAGACTTGGAGCAGGGGGAAACAGTTATTGGACTGGCTCTGTCTAATAGTAATCACTAATTAACACATTATATCTAGTTTGTTTCATCTGTACACAAACAGAAATGTAAAAACAATAATTTTTTGGGGGGGGTTAGCCCTAACCCAAGCTAGCTGTTTCCCCCTGCTTCCAGTCTTAAAACAAAGCTAGCCCTCCTTAAATTCCTTAAATGTTTGTTACACAATGGACCTATTTTTGAATGATGTTTAATTGATGAAATGTTAGGCTTTCGGCTGATATTCGGGAACTCTGTTGTAACCCAGATACCAAGCACACAAAGTCTTGCCAGTAATCCTCCTCTGTGTATCGGTAACAGTGTGTACTATACACTGTGTCAACATAGCGTTGTAGTGATAGAACCAGACTGGGTAGGAAACTCCTTCATCATTTGACAATATGTTCCATGTAGGGAGTAAACACTGTCCAGCCCCCTCAGATGAGGAGTGCAGATAAGAAACAACAACCATGTTCTGTCGATTTCATTATGAATTTAACATGTGGTGGAAAGTTACTGTTAAATTTCCATTCTTGCATTAATCTTGGCCCATTTTGTAAGCTTGACCTGGTTCTTCATTTAAGGACTGTTCCTCTTTTACTTCAAGGGAAAAAACATAACAAATGTCATGTTGACATTATCATTCATTGTACAAACACAGGAGTAGCTGCTGTGCGAACACATAGTACTTGGCAGGTGAAGTATTTGGCACAAAGAGAAAGAGTTTCGAGAAGTCAGCACAGGCTAGATTCCAGGGGCTGCTCAGCCGGACTCACCAGTTTGCAAGCCATTCTCTTCCTGGTGGTGATGTCCTGAGCCAAGTGGACTTTCCCAAATGAGCCCTTGGGCACGAGGCCAGGGCCGGGATTCTTGTAAGTCAATTTCCATGGAAAGAGAAGCACGTCCATGTTGATCTGGTAGCGGCCTTTTTTAATAGCCAAGTACTTCTGCCAACAAAGGTCATTTAAAAAACATGTAAGAAAATACTCATATCAACATGCAAACACAGTTACAGAGGAGGTCATATGCACTCTAACATGCAGGCTTGTTATGGAGTCTTGTTCTCACCTTGTTCAGCAGGACCCCCATCTCCTCAGGCAGGTGCTGCAGGGCTGCTGCCTGCATGTTAGACAGCAGGTTGACAAAGGACAGGAGGTCTGTCACCGTCCCGTAACGAACACCGCCAACCCCATCGACGTAGTCCTTTTGCGGACTCCCTGAGCCCTCTGAGTCCCCTGCCTCCTCGTTCTCATCCATCTCCTCATGGGAGAGACCTTCCTCTTCGAATGACAAGCCTCCGTCCTCCTCCTCCTCCTCCACTTCCTCAAGCTGATACAGTGTCTCTGCAGCGTTGATGATGTCTTCAATATTCATGTGAGCCAACAGCAGTTCTACTCCAGTATATTTGTAATCCATATTGATGCTCGAGTCGTGCAGCCCGCTCTGAAATGAAACATCAGGAGGTCAACTCATGGAGATTTTTCTGCTCAGATCAGGCTCGCAGGAGATCCTGTCAGTGATCAGTCAGTGAATGACTGAATCTGAATCTAGAGGCAGGATACACTTCTCTGAAACACTCTAGCTTTGATTCAGCTGACTGGACACAGCTGGGAGGGGCTTAAAGGACGTTTTCCAAGCAAATGAAGGGAGTTTCACAATAAAGCTGGGCATCACTGCTATTACTGATTTCATTTCTGTCGGTCACATACATTTACTTCTGTCTATATATTGTCATATGTTGTATTATTATAATAAGGTACATACTCCTATTTTATTTCTTACTTTTATGTTTATACCTATATATACATTTTCTATTCTATGTACATTGTGTTAGATATTGTAAGATCATTACTATTCTTTTCTTTCAACATTGTGTGAGCACCTTGATAAACTGTAACAAACAAACCCATTGCCCACCAAACCCCATGTTAAAAACGAGCGAATAAGCACCAGAGTTTATCACAATCTAAAGTGGCAAATTCCGAATACCTGCCTTTAGAAATAGTAATTATAGCAATAATCCGAGCAGTTGGACAGACGCTAAGGGCAATCTCGAAAATATTTAGCGGTTATTTTTGGTTTGAGATGAGTAAAGATCAAAAAGCACGCACGTACTTGCCGTAATCTTTGACTCAGAAGCTTAACGCGACTGCCGTCTCTCCATTGTGTGTGTCCAGCGTCCAACGCAGACTGACTGCGTGAGAGAGGTCGGTTTGTGCTTTGTAGGAAGTAAACAGAGGAAGTACAGTCGATCAGTGCGTGGGTGGTGTTCGTTAGGCTTCACTGTCAGGTGCCAGCTTCACTCTCTGTAGGTTTCGTTTTCCCTTTCTTCTGTTTTCTCAGATGAAAAACAAATTTCATGTGGCATGATTGCTGAAACACAGGACATCACCTTCCACAGAATCGCTGGGTGTTTTTCTCTGGGAAAATATGTGCTTTGTTGTTTTTTTACAAAAGCAACTCTTAGTAGAAATCACAGAATAAATAGATATGCATAGAAATGTAAAAATATTAGGGACGTTTTCAGTTCGTTAGACACAGAATAGGTTAACAGAGGACATTCAAATTGAACATATAGCTCTTACTGTAATAGCTACCAAGGACACAGTAGAAATATAACACACCATCCATACATACTGTCGCCTACATTTAACTTATATCGCCACAATGCGTCCAGTTTGGTACCTCTGAGTTGCCGTAGACATAGCCCCACGCATGCGCCTCTCGGTTAATTTCGGAGCAACAATGGCGTCCTCCTTTGCCGTGTGCAGGTTACATATGAGGCGACAGGGTGGCCTGGTGAAGTGCCTCCAGAAGCTCGATACTTCTCTTCGCAGGAACATCGTAACAAACGTTGTTGCCTCGAGTGCCGAAGCACCCCAGAAGGACGAAACTGGTTAGTAACGTTATATAAAGCTAGCTAACAAACCAAGTTAGCCTGCTAACTAGCCCTGCTACATAGCGTGTCACTCCAAACTTCATTCAGAAATCTGTATATTTTAGGTAGCCGTAGCTATGATCCAAAATGCGTAATTTATTTAATAGAAAATGGAAAAGTTAAGGAATTATTAGGGTATCGGGACAATTCGGCAATGTATGTGTGATCGGTTAGTCCTTGTTCTGTAAAATCTTCCCTAAATGGGGTTCTGTCATTTCAGATAAAATGTTATTTTAATGATCCTAAAATTTGCTGCTTTATGAATGATCTGTGTTTCGAATTTAACCCTAGTTTCTGAGAGTGACATATGGGTATGTGTGTGATTCGAGGCATGCATATATTTGCTCAACAGTGCCACATACTATAGAACTGTCCGTTTTTTGTATGCAGTTTGGCGTTGAAGTCCTCGGCCACACTTGTAACAAATAAGTCTTCAACCGCTAATGCAAACTTCGTCAACAGTATGCAACCTGCACAGGGATGAACAATGACAGAAAATGAATGTCTTGCTCAAAGAAAAAAAAATGTCGTTTTTGTAACTGTTGAATATTCTGCTTTTTTGTTGTCAGATGAAAAGGAAGGACGCAAATCTTTCTCTGCTGTCCAGGTGGAGAGACAAGGACAGGCAGAGAGATCTGTTCTCATGAGCTGCCCTCCCAAAATCAATGAGAAAAAGTTCCTCAAGTATTTTTCAAGACATGGAGATATCAAGAAATACTTCTTTTATGAAAGAAATGTAAGTTAATGACCAAGCATTAGCATTTTCTAACACATTATAAGGTGCACATTATGACAAACTTCACTGTCATGCTAAGATTCAGTTGCACAATGAAACTGTGTGTTATTCCACAGGGCTTGTATGCCGTTGTGGAATTTGCCAAACGGGAATGTGTTGAGTCGTTACTTGAAGCAACGAAAATCCCCTGCCTCTCCAATGAGTTCCCGATGCCTTTTAAATCGAGACTGTTGTCACTTAGCCACTACGGCTCAGCGGCCTCACCAAACCAGCAGTCAGGCCAACAGTGCCAACCACAAACCACCATTCCCATCGACCAGCTCATAGACAGACTGTCCAGGAAGGAAAGTGTAAGTTGTTGGGTTATTACACCATGATTTACCGTTTTAGGCTAAAGGACTAATCCAGTGGCTGCAAATGCATTATGTTAAAGTCTAAAACAGATATGCATCAAGTAGACTGTTATTAACCAAGGCCTGTCTCCCCTTTCCCCCCTCAGATAGACCAACAGGTAACCTCCCTGATGGAAACCTATCAGCTAACAGATGATAACAGCCGTCTGCGTTTCCTAGTCTGCTCTCTGCTACAGGACATTGCTGCTGCCTATTTCCCAGAATGCACCATAAAGCTATTTGGCTCATCAGTGAACGGCTTTGGAAAGCTGGGCTGTGACCTGGACATGTTTCTGGACCTGGATGACATCAGTGGGAGAAGAACAAAGAAGGTAATAATGGGAGTTTGGGTTGTCCTTTAGAAGGCTTTTTTAGACTCAAACAGTTGTGAAAACCAAACCCAGCCAATTACATTAATATTCTCTGATGTTACCTTTTAAGTCTACAGAATAAAAAAGTTCACCTGCTAGAGCTGCCACCCCATTTGCCAAGGCTGTGCCCTTGCTGCAGTGGCCAGGGGTTGAACTCCGACCTTTGGCCCTTTGCTGCGTGTAATGCTCTCCCTCTCCCATTTCCTGTCACTCTTCAGCTGTCACTATCATTTTAAGGGAAAAGTTTTTTGGTACTTGGTAGTATTGATTGGGACCAGCTAGCCCCCCCCCAAAAAAAAGCCAAACAGCTACCAGCTGCTGTGGCCACAGTCATTTGCTGCCAGTTGAGTTTTGTGAGTTCTGCAGAGTGAAACTGAAGACAGCTGTGAACGGCAAAAATCCTGCACTCACATTTGGCTGCTGCATCAAAGCTTTCTTTGAGAATTCTTTGAAGCGTTTACTTTGAAATTTGGCGAACACCATCTTGGTAAAGGATTTGCATAGATTCAGTTACTGTTCCCTGGAATCAGTTATATTCGATCAGTGGAGCTATGTGTCTTGAAAGTGTCAAAATCATTTGGAATTGCGTAGGTAAAATCCAGTATTTATGAAGATCATGCTTTCAAAAAAAGGAAACCATTGTCAGACTCATCTCATAGTTCATAGCCCCCCCCCCTTCTTATGAAGTTCATTGGTTTCATAACCTTTAGCTAAGAAGGAATAGGTGCAATAATGTTTAATCCTATTTAATATTTGTATGCAGTATAAACATGAATATATAGATTTAAATAATGGTTTATAACAAACTATAATGTGGTAATAAGCTGATATAAGAGATTATTTAAATATGTGTCAACAACTATAAATAAATCCTCATGTGGGGACCCATAAGTGGATGCTGCTGTATAAACAGATAATGAATGACAATGTAGTTAAACACAGTAGATATTATTAGAAAGATCACTGTTGACTATGATTAGATTCTCTAACTCCATCTAATAATAAATAATAATAATATTTGCTTTTATTTCTTACAGTTGAGTATTTGTCATTTCATGCAGAGTATTCACTGTCTCCTTGTGTCCTTTGGGCAAGACTTTAAAGCTCAAATTTCATCCAATGGTCAAGTCAACTTGGTCAATTTTCCAGCTTTACAATGGCAGGCAAATTGTAAAACTCTATATAAATGCATCCATGCACCATTTATTGAATTAATCTGCAACTAATTTGATAATTGATTCATTAAATATGTCTCAACTGTCTGTGTGCAGCAAGAATCAGGTTTGTTCCTGGAGTACCAGCTGAAGACTGTCAGCACGGAGCGCGTTGTCACTCAGCGCATCCTGTCCTTCCTCGGGGAGTGTCTGGACCAGTTTGGGCCTGGGTGTAATGGGGTGCAGAAGATTCTCAACGCACATTGTCCCCTGGTCCGTTTCTTCCACCATCCCTCTGGCTTTCAGTGTGACCTCACAGCCAACAACAGGTATTCACTTTCTGCACATACTATGACCATGGCCTACTTCCCATAAACAGTGTGAACTAGTATTTGTCATGGCTCTGGTTTTGCAGCGCATGTTAAAGAAGGGTCAGTTTCATACAGTTGAAATGTCACTTCACAGAAACTGTTAGTTTGATGTCGTGCTGTACTGTTTGGCCACACTGGCGTTGCAAAAGCCCCAAACTGAAACCAGACTCTGGCAGGAAGTGCTGTGATGGTTCAGTTGCATGTTTGCCACAGTGAAACTCAACAGGAGGGCCAAAGAGGGGGTTTGTTTGTGTTTCAATTCTTACCTTCTTCCCTAATGGTCTTATGGTCTCTGCTGATTGTGTAACACAAACATGTACACACCTGCTAACATACAGAAAACCGCAGTGCAGTTTCTAAGGAAATGGAGTTAAACCACCCACTGTGGGTGGATGTGAGGGGGACTTTTTTTAAATCTTGCTCGGAGATCTTTGAAGCACAGCATTTTTCCTCTCTGAGGGGTATGTGTGTACGTGAAAAATAAAAGCAAAAACAGCTGAGAATAAGTGAGACAGTGACTGTGACAAGCTGAAGGCTGCTCTCTGGTGGTGGTTTTTCTAATGTTAATTTCACTGACCCTTCAGATTCAATGTGATACAGTATTGGTCATATGGATGTTTTAAATTATGTTTTAAAAAGTATGTATTTATATATTCATAGGTCTTTTTATTAAGACTCTTTAGTTAATTTACTTTCTGCAATTAACTGCCTTATTTCCTATTTTATATTTGTATTATGATAGTGGTGGGTGGCAGCCTATTTGGCTGTTCTACAGCACTGAATCTTTATCCAGTCATTCATTTAAAGTCATTCTAGATAATAGAGCAAACTAAAAATTGGGCCTGCACAATTGATCGCAATATTATTGACCCCGACAAATATACATTTCAGTGAAAATTAAAATTGTTTTATTGTAAAATTATGAATTATATCTGTAGATTTGTACCATATCGTGCAGCGCTACTAAAAATGCAGAAATGATGAGATGTTTTAATTCTCAACCAGTGAAGCGACTCCACATTCCAAACCTGAAATGAAGAGCCACAATGAAGCCCCATCAAAACTTGCAGCACAGTGGAACACTAGTATTAACCCTGTATGTTCTCCACAGGGTGGCGATGAAGACCACAGAACTGCTCTACCTGTATGGAGAGCTGGACCCACGGGTGCGTCACCTGGTATTCATCGTGCGCTGTTGGGCCCGAGTTCATGGCATCACCAGCAGCATCTCCGGGGCCTGGATCACCAACTTCTCCCTCACCATCATGGTGCTATTCTTCCTGCAGAGGAGGAATCCTCCCATTATCCCCTGCCTGGACCATCTAAAGGACCTTGCAGGTACCACCCAGCACGACGTGTCACTCACCCTAGAGTGTCATTTTTTGTGATCAACCTTTTTATTGCTTTTTTATATCCTTAAAAAGACACACTGTTTAGGTCTGGCATGACAAGGTTACAATGTCTTAATTTGCAGACGACCCCAGTCCTTCCCCAATAACCAAAAATAAAAACTGGGATCAGGGGCAGCAGGCTTTTAAAGTAGGAGTTATGATAGTAGAGTGCAATCGCCAAAAAATGCAATTTCTACAGAAATCCCAAAATGTCAAATATTTTTGATACCAAATCAAAGCATGAATTTTTTTGTGGTGTCCGTCAAGGTCTTGGTGTCTTAATGTGGTATGTTGGAGGGAATCTTCCAGTGTAACAAATGGTATCAGCCCAAACATGGCTGCAACAAGGTATGAAACATAAGTGAGCATAGAAATTACCTTCATATACTTCAACTATAATGTTTTAAGCCCTTAAACAGCCCCTAAAAACACTCAATATTTGAAAAAGTGCCTAAACAAAACCCAATGTTAATTACACTGTAATACTTGACATACAGCGCTGAGCTGCCTCTCAAATACATCTTCAGATTCCCAGCTGTCAGAACCACTTCTATGCTGCCTTTACTGTTGACCTGCTACCTCCCACTAAAGATCTCCTGCACTAAAAAACAAAACAGATTTTTTTTATTCTAGGAGTTAAAGTGGAATTAGTTCTTTGGTCATTTTGGATTTTTTTTATGATGTTTTTTGCATCAGTATGATAAAGTACCTTGATTTGCCAAGTAATTTATTCACTGGTTAAATTAAAAATGGATGAATGGTTATTGTATCCATAAAACTATTTGTTTTCAATTCATTTTCTTGAAAAATTGAATAGAATTGTATTGATCAATAATGTGATGTACAATTAGGAGACTTTACCACCTACCCCTAACAGGAAAGATTCACAAAACAGCTCAAAACATGATAATTGAATAACAAAGACGGAAACAAGCATAAAGAATAATAATGTTATTAAAACAAACACATTACACAACAAACTGCAATGTTATGCATGCATGTAATCTGCAATAGACCTCACCTTATTAGCAATAGATTTGACATTAACAGTGTTGTTTTCCACCATGCATTCAACTTACTGAGGTTTCCATAGAAAGTATGTCAACCACTGAGTACAGTGAGGTTAGCATGGGGTTTTCCATGGTACCGTTCTTTCTGCTCTCCTATCCTGTTGTTGCCATCCCGACATGCATGCTGATTGTACAGAACTTTCTGAACGCTTCTTTTACCTGTCCATGTCTTTATAAACTTAACTGTGGCCAACAGAAGCATTTCAATGTCAGGTATGACCCAGCTGCCTTGGTGCCAACCTAAAGTACCAAGCATGTCCTTCATCAACAGTCTATACATGTGTCTATAGAGTGTCTATACATGTTTTATTTTATTCCTATAAACCCAGTGGTTTACATTGAAGCTCTGTAGATGACTTCCCATCCCAAACCATCCCTTTTTTACTCTTATCACTTTGCATACATAATAATAAATGCGTGATAATGTGAACCACCAGCGCACCAGTCTGCCTGCCAGTCCCCTGCAGCTCCTCCATCTCTGTCTACTCCTTCTCTCTGTCACCTTGGCTGCCTGATAATTGCCTTCCAAAAGCAATCTACCCCTCCCTCCCCTCCACCCCCCTACCCCCCCCTCCACCTCCACATCCTCCTCCTCGGTCCCGTTTAGCACAGACTCTATCACACGGAGTGCTTACAGGACAATAAAAGCCCCATCACTCTGGGAAGGTCGATGACCTCGCCTCCACCGGACACACGCTTGCGCACACACACACACACACACACACACACACACACACACCAGCGCAGCAGCCTCGTCGCAGTGAAGGAGACTGGTAACAAGGGCACTGCTGGAGAAGTAAACCATCCATGCTCTATCTTTCCTTTGACCACCTTCATACACGCACGCACACACACTCACTCACTCACTCACTCACACGTGTACATGCACCTGCTCTCTCTCCTTCCCCGTGTCTTTCTGTTTCCTCTCCATGAATGCACAGACGCCATCCGTCTGTGTCTTGTTTATGACCATCGTCGTTTACCTTGTATCCCCTGCTCTCGTCCTACAAGGTCCCATGGACAACAGCATGATTGAGGGGAACGACTGCACGTTTGTCAGCGACCTAAGCAAGATCCAGCTGCAGAGAAACACAGAAACACTGGGTGAGCACCAGAGTGTAGAATCGATGGCTGTAGGGCCACAATTCAGTCTGATTAATACCGATGTATCTGTTAGTGGCTAACTCGACTTTTCTCGCTTTGTCTCAGACCAACTTCTGCATGAATTCTTTGAATTCTACAGCGCCTTTGCATTCAGCAAGATGTCCATAGATATCAGAAAGGTATGTATGATTATTATCAATAAAGTCCCATGCAACCAAAGAATCAGCCCAATGATGACAGTTCACATTATATTTAGATTGTTTTGCTAATCTTAAAGCTAAATTGTATTCACAATGACAATGTAAAAAAAACTGGCAATGTGAAAGGTGGTGTTCATAGTGATGAACCTTTAGAAAATGATCACCTGAGTCTGCAGCTCCCCTCAGCTTTACAGAGCTTTATATTGAGTTTTACTTAACCGTTCACTCTCACTGCTCTTATTGTGTTGTTTTCAAAGAAAACTCTCTAAAACCCACTGTATACTACCTGCACAGCAGTAAACAGCAGACAGACACAGTTAGCGACTAGCTGGTGAACATAGTGGAGCATTTCCCTTAGGAGTCATCAGATTGCAAATGAATGCTAATGTTTCTCCGTAACTACTGCATGTGTAAATAACAGTTTGCTTATATTGCCATATTAACTTAAAAGGTGGCCAAAACAATTTTGGAGTTATTTCAGGTTTACGCACAAGTCAAACTAGATGCCCACATTTAACCCTTTAGACAAATATCAAAAAGCAGTTTGGCTCTTACCGTAATTGTCCTTTTGTATCTGTATAAAGCCATTAGGACCTACCTACCTATATATGAGTGACAAAAAGAAATCACTTCAGCAGATAGATGAGTGGTGTTCCACGTCCAAAAGTTTCTTTCTTGTGGACATTGCAGCGGGGCACCAGCTGCTGCTGTTGTCTGAAACTGTGATCTCATTCTCACAATAAAGCTAGACTATTAAATCAGGCGGGCCGATATGGGCTGATATTAGCTTGTCGCAGACATGTCGAACATTATGTAATAAGAAATGTCAGTACAGAAATGTTTGATGTGAGTTTTGTTTATTTGTGTTTTATTGTCTTTGTTAAGACTGATGAATGCAATTTAAGATCTATTTAATGTCCATCCACAGTGGCAAAAAGTACAAAAGATATGATGGAAAGTCTGTATTGGTTCCATATCTGTTTCATTTTGTAGTTGTTACAGCGTGATCAATACAAATTTTCCCCAGAGACATTTAAAAGCGAGACTGAAATATTCAACTGTATACGAGTCATGTTAACTTTATTCATTCAATATTTTTTTAAGACCTGTCAAAATCATATTTAAGACATTTTAATACTCTCTAAATAGGACTGTTCGCATGTTTCACAGCCACCGTACCTTCTCTTCTGCGCGTGCGGAAAGGGAGGGTGACGTGAGCGAGTTGCAATCTGCAAATACTTGACACCACTAAATGCTACACACAGGACCTTTTCAAAATAATATATTTAAGGGGAAAAAAATTTAACAAATGCCTCAAAAATCCAGCAAACCCTTGGGCCAGCCTGCTACTGGAATGGCTTTTCTTCTGGCTTGAAAATCAAACCGTTGCATCTCTGAGAAACCAGGGCAAGAGCTACAGCACTAAAAGAAAATCCAGTTCAGCCTCCTTTCAACTTTTCTTCCCAGCCTCAGAGCTGAGCTCCAGCAGAGAAATCTGTTGGTAATAAAGGCAGTGTTTGGTGGATGGCGTCTTCCCACACACACAGATGACAGCTGTCCCTGTCATATGTGATTGATGCCGGCCCCATGGGGCCCGGCGCCCTTGAGCTGAGATCCCAATTAGGAGCTCCATCAGGCTTAGTGTAAACAAACGCCTATTTATTCTATTTAGACCCATATTCAGCCTGTTGTTGCCTGTTTGTGCCTGTGTAATACTTTCCATTGGCAAAGTGTGCCTCTCTAGCTGTACAGGATAGTTAATTAACTTACCTCTAGAAATTTGTAGCATTAAATAATATCTTGTTTATCACCTATTACTTTTGCCCCTAGAAATTTAGTTGATAAATATGGTGCTCATAATTTGGTGGCACATTATATGAGATGCAGGACTTTGCTAGTGCTTGGAGTTTAATGAATTGATGCCTCAGGACCCTGCAGCCTAAAATATGAGACTAATATCAAGTTTGACACTGCCTGCAGGTAGACTGTGGCCGTGACCCATGTCTATAGGCTTTCACCAGAGGAGCAACAGCCATAAATCTGCTTTACTGTGCTACAATTCTCCGGTTCGTTCCTCTCCTCTGACTGATGGCTTTATGTTGCCATCTCCTGTTCCTCCCGTCCCTTTAGTGTCAGGCTTTAGGCAGAATATGGCGTGCAAAGTACCATACAAGGTTCTTGACTTCTCTCTGACCCACACATTGATGGTTCATTTGATGGCCGTGACTAGTAGACAGAGGTACAGATCATATATGCTTCCGTTGCTAACATGTTCGGTGTGCATAGCAGGTTTTCATATCGCTCTAGCACATTCCTGTCATTTATTTATTTTTTTTCCCCTTTCCGAATTATTCTCTCTTTTCATGACTAGAGTCAAAATGTCTTCCAGAGCCATGTCCATGTCTCTCCCTCGCCCATCTGCTAGCCTGGGGAGAGGTGTTCCAGTCAGCAATAAATGCCCCAGATACAGCGGCAAAGAGCTAAAAACCATGACCAACAAGATAGATGGACCATAACATACTGTACAGGACTGCGTTTATGGCTGCTGCTGCTCAAGAATGTATTTTCATCTGCCTGCATTGTCCCCTTCCCTCTCTCCAGGGCAAAGAGCAGATCAAGCCGGTGAAAAACCATCTGCACATCCAGAACCCGTTCGACAGCTCTCTGAACATCAGCAAGAACGTCAACGCCGCACAGCTAGAACGCTTTGTGGCTTTGTGTCAGGAGAGCACCTGGTTGCTCGAGCAGACTAAAACCAACACACCTAGTGGTAAAGGAGGCAGCGCTTCGACACCTTGGGGACTCGCTACCCTGCTCCAGCCCACCAACGTTGCAGAGATCAAAAGTAACAGGAAAAGGAGAGTGGGGCTCACCAGTGATAGGATAAAGGGCTTGATAGAATCCTTGAAGAATGGCACTCAGCTAAAGAAAAGCTAGGCTCTTGGGACTCTCTTACAATTGTCTAATGCTTCACTGAGGAGGTGAGGGGCAGCTTCTGCACTGGACTATTCCAAACATGGACACTGGAGGGTGTCACCGAGGCCTCTATGTGAAATATGTTTGGGACCTAGAATAAGGGACTGATTACTGCGTTCGTTACTGTAGACTACTCTGTTGTAATTAAAGCCAGTACAGTGGAAACTAATGCAAGTCCAGTTCCTCGTGTACAAGCTTGTTCAACTGATTCATTTGACTCAAAATCTGTTGTACATGGATATTATAATTTACACAAATAAGAAACATCATCTGTTTACAACTCAAACACAATCCCTATGGATATTGTTTTTGTAATGTTGTTCCAATAATAATCAATAATAATCAAGATTTTATTTACTGTGGTTATTATGGAACTTCAAAACTGACAAAAGGCAGTAAAAGGGTTTGAGACACATCACAAATATAACTGAATACATCATTACAAATAGTTAAATAGTAAAAAGGAAAAAAACCTTATATATTTCACTCTGTTTTGTGTGTCTGACTAGCTCATTGTGTTTTAACACGAGGGAGACAGAAAGGGCAGGGAAGAGAGATGGGATGACATGCAGACTCGAACCCAGGCCACTACGGTATGGACTCAGCCTTGACACATGATGCATGCAACTCGCTCTACCAGACGAGCTTTCAGAGTAATCTGAAAATAAATTTCATCTTAAATCTACACTAGAGCGGGGCGCCGGTTAGCTAAACAGTACAAACACACTACGCTAATCTCCATAACACCGTCTCACCTGTGGGAAATGAGGACGTTTCAGTCAGCCAACAGCCGAGATACAGTGCTAATGCTATCAACTTCCATGTAATAAAATTGTTTTAGTTTAAGTCCGTGTCTCTTTTCCTCATCACAACAAACTTATCAAAAGCTAGCTACTTTATCATTGTTAGCTGGCTGGCTAAAATGCTTCAGCTAGTTACTGTAACAAGACTTTATCCAGTAATGCTACAGCAGTGTGCATTATGGGTGAATAATATAACCTGCATTGGTTGGTGTCGTTTAATGATTTAGTTAGCTTATGGTAGCTAGGCTTGTCCTCAGTGTGTCATTCATTGCTGTAGTGTGATACATTTGAAGTGTTTCTTGGGTGAAATAGTATATAGTAAAATGACTAGTATTATTAACTTAGACCCCAGCCATGGGAAACTAAGTAGTTAAAAAATGAAATGAGTTGGTGAGAGATAGAAGGGTACATAAAGTTTTACGGTGAATTATTTAATCAACTTATTGGTGGTAAGAGAAAATCTTTAAAGTTTGTTAAAAGTTACATTTATCTGTTTTTTTCAACTAAGTATTTGGAGGTTAAAGGAAAAATACCTTTTATATGCTATACAATTAAAAGCTCCAGTTGGTCATTTTTATAGAAATAACTTTTGTCATATGTGCTAAAACTTTCACTATATCCTGACAGTTAAAAATCTTCTTCTGTCTCGTCCTAATCGTCCTAAAAATTATCCACAGGGCCTGAAGGAAAACCAGTCTATTGACTTTCATTACTTCGACTGATATTTGACGACCTAGGAATGAGACTCAGCAATCAACTATATCCTAACCATCAACCCAAATCTTTCTGGGCTCTGATTGGTTGTTTTCATTCAGGCCCGGTGGATTCACTCAAATCCCATTAGGACCACTAGGGGGAGCCAGAGGAACCCAATCTTTTTTCACAGAATATCTGCCACATCTACTACTGTCAGGATATAGTGAAAGTTTCAGAAAATATGACAAAAATATATTTTTATAAAAATCACCTACTGCAGCTTTAATAGTGTTGTGCATGTATGTATTTTTGACTCTTCTGACAACCTGCCTTTTGTTTCTTTCTGGCCTATAGGCTATCACATTTTAAACAATTGGTAAAAAGAAGAAGAATGCTCAAAAAACAGGCTGTTCTCAAGTGTTACATCTGGATGAAAGTTTTTAGCAGCAAATGATCTAAAGCAGTGACATAATGGCGCTAGCATGTGTTACATTTATTTAGAAGTAGACAGCCCATCAACTTGGTCACCCAGTTCATTGGAACCAAAGTCAGCCAAGCCTTGTGGTGAAGTCTGTAGAATGAATTGACCTCTTTGAAAACCCACTAGTTGATATGTCATGTTAAATATGTGAAAAGAGACATGTCACTTTAACTCTTCCTATTCAGTTTCCAGCTTATAATGCCTATATCCACTAATCTTCTTGAAATGTAGTCCGAACCGAAGTTGGTCAGAAGTTGAAACACCAGGTCAATCACATTTGATGTTTTTTTTTCCAAAGTTACATAAGCTGAGTATATGTATGTGTGTTTGAGATAGAGGAAAGAGAAATGACCTTCGAGTGCATGTGTTAACAGTGCATCTGCAGGTTCACATCCTATGAGTGTGCCTGTGTGTTTGTATATGTGTGCTTCAGGCCCATGGGACAGTGTTTGAGGAGCAGGGAGTGTGCAGCCCACAGCTGTTTTTCCGCTCATTGCCGTGGGAGGTCAGGAGGGTGAGAGGATAGACTTTTAACTACGTCCCCCTCCCCTCCTACTACCCGTCCACCCTTTTGCCACGGGGGGGCACGGCACGAATGGGAGGAAAGGAGTGAAGGAGAAGAGAGTTGCCTAATACCCCCCTGGTATTGAACTTCACTCACTGTCCCTGCCTCCCCTCTTCTAGCTTACATTTCCCTTTCAAATTCGATGTGCTTCTCTTTCTATCTCAGTCATCTTTTTCCTCCCCTCTCAGAGTGGCAGCGTTTTTGAGGTTTGCAGAGTTTGTTTATTTCCATGAGTGAGTTTCTGACTGATGGATCTGCTCTGGTGAAGCAACAGAGTGGTTATGAAACACGGTAGTTAGAGAAGCATTGGGTGGGGAAATCAGCACCTCAGGAGAATTTGATGAAATGGGACTGCAGGGTACTGTAGGGTTCATTTGAAGGAGCTAAGTGTCAGCACTGTGGATCTTCTGATTTGTATTTGGTGGTTTAGAATGTGCTGTGCTGTTTTCTTTTTTTATTTATAGACCCCTCTTTGATGGTGCACTCGCCATTTATTGAACAGTTTATGGGTTAATTACGTTGATAGATAGAAACTGTGGCCACTTGCCAAGAGGTTGCTACAGGTCAATGTCAAGGTTAATGATATTTTTCTTTCTAGCTCATGCCAACCATTGCAGTGTCAAGGTTTTATGTGACCGTCTACAAGTGGAAGTCTGCAGAGGGACCAAGGTTGTGTTCGGCGAATCTGCCCAGCAGTAGCCTTCCTCCGGGGTGTTTGCAGGCGGCACACCGTGGGTTCTGATTTATTAGGTAAACTGACGAAAAGTCCAAGATGAATTGGCCTACTCTCAGGAAGTCCAGAGGTTCAGCGGGGCGATGGCCAGAGTTTATGTTGCTGCCTTTTTCTTGGCTCCTAATGCTCCTTCAGAGCCTGAAAGAATGTAAAAAGGTGGCCTGAGGGTTTGAAAAACATGGGAGGGATTTGAGGAAACACGGTGAGGGAGGTAAAGTAGGAAAAACAAGAAATGAAAAAGATCTTGGCATGCATTTGAGGTTTAATGCCCCCTGAAAATGTTTATGTCATGAGCAGCTTCTTTCACTGGCCACTGTTAGCATTCTAGGAAAAGGGTTCAGCTCCTGGAGAACATGGTGTTTGATGTGGAGGCCTTATCAGTTGGAGCACTTTCAGAAGTTATTTTATCAATCCATCCGATCACCACACCACTCCTTCTACTTACCTCCACCGACTTCACACAAAGACCTGAGAGCAGTGTGGAGGACGTAATCTCCAAAAGCACTTCCCCTTGGAGTTCCATGAATTGTCCCCACAACATTGTGAGAGGTCATAACGCTGGTTTCCGTGGTTGAGGGACAAGCGTGCTGGCGCTCCCTGGAGGACCCAACCACTCCCTTACTCCCAGGTTTTTCTCACTCATCAACACCAAGGTTAGCTTTGCATAGAACGTGGTGAGAGGGAGCAGGGAGCGCTGGAATGCACTTGCTGCACGCAGAGGCCCCTAAGGTTATCGCAGAGTGAATCTCTGGCCTCACAGTTCCTACTGCGTAACTGCAGAGGTGTGTACTGGCTGAAAATTATACATTCAACTGACCCCAGTCAAAGCGCGGCAGCCTGTATCTACGCGTCTCTGTGTCCCTCTACAATGAAAACATGAGGTAAACTATTGGCAACCAACTTGATGATTTAAGCTATGTGTTTACGCTGTATGGGAATGCCCCGGACTTACTGTACCCACAAACACTACCATTGTTTCAGTGTACGATGCATGGCTGCCTAATTGAAGCCTGGCACAGGGTTTCTAGCAACCAAAGCCTCCGAGTGTCAGCGACCGTGGTGGTTTTCACATTCTTTCTCTCACTGGACAGTAGAGAGGCTACTTCCATTCAGCACTGGCCAGATCAGGCCCCCGTTGAGACAGTGACTGCATGCTGTGACAGAAGATGAGCTGTCACATGGGTATACCACACACAAGCACATGACTATTGTACCGGGACATGGGTGGGTATCCATAGAAACGCACCCCACTTATCTGACAGCGCTCTTCCCAGTCTCCTGGGTGCCTTTACTCCCCGAATGGAGAACGCATGTATGATGCCACAAATATACATGTGACGCTAATCCCCAGAGATCAGGCTGCTGCCTTTATATCATCACGTGTACTTTGTTGTTTTTGTCAGACCTGCCATTGTGCCATGAAGAGGCTGAGACACATTTGATGTATAGCGTTTAGATATATGAGTTTAGTTCTTCCTTGAACTTAACAAGTCTGTCATTTCCTAATAATTTCCAAGTTAGTTTACTAATTAATACGTTAGTAATTTGGTACTTAATACAGGAAAATGGAAACAAACATCAGAGGCAGTTTTTTAGTTAAACTTTAGTCAGCATAAGCAGTTGTTGCTCTCAACTGTAATAATAGTAATGGCTCACTCACTATTGAAAACTTCATATACTTCATCTATATACTTTCCTGTAGACAAATGTATTATTTTTTCAAAAATTTTATTCATGTTCATCTCACCTGCTACCCACTGAATAAAATGATGCTGACATTTACTGTAAGTAACAATATTTTGAAAGTTATGATTCAATAGATGAGGGAAAAGAAATCACAGACTTTGAAAGCAAAGTTGTAATATTTTGAGTTAAAATAAATAATAATAATAAAGCTGTTTATAATGGAGACATCCATCCACCTACATGTTTACCTGCTTATCATTTACAGGGTTAGTAGTGGGCATGAGCCTATCCTAGTTCACTTTGGGCAAGGAAAAGAAACTGTCCTTCAGAATATAATGATTTAGTGCCCATGAAATGATGACTGTTGCATTTGTACTCCACAGATTCTGTTTGGCTTTATCAGTGAGCTTGTGTAGTCTGTTTCAGGATTCTGTAGTGTAATTGCTATTTGAAGGCAGCTTTTCTTACAGAATAGACTTTTTTCACAGCAGCCATTCTGACCCATGAAATAGTAGGGTAAACACAGGTGTTGCCCATTATACTAATCAAGGTTCGTTGCATTTGGGTAAAACAGAGTCAAGCTGCTATTGTGCATGTTGACACACTGGAAAGGCTCTACTTCACTAAATGGAAAGGAACCTTAATTAATATAATTGGTGTTTACCCTACTATTTTATGTCAAAATGGCTGCTGTGAAAAAAGTATTTTTACTCATTACATTTGTATCCAAACTGTCTTCACTTGCAAAATCTTTGAAAGCAGGTTTGTGAAAACTAATTGATATGGGCCCTTAGAATGTAGTGCTGATGTAACCCTCAGTCAGCTTAACAAAGCAGCAGAGCCCAGTGTGTAAGATATGAGCCCTCAACTAAGCATCAGGCG